AAGAGGTCAAATAAAATCTTACCCGTGCTTTGCAAAAATTATGTTTCTTTGTGGTCATGCTTTTCCTTTGTACATTAAGGTTTCCAAAACACAGTTTTCCTAGTGAGTGCCGATTCACTGGGTATTTTGTTTTACAATGAAAAGAAAAACTCCCTGAATTAGCATCTACTCACATTTGCTGTTTTACAAGTAGACTGTGGCACTCGCCTCTGCCACTGGGATTTGAAAACACCCACAACACTTCACCTTTATGCCGGGCTAAACTCAGGGTAGCCATAAACACTCTAAAGTAATACAAACCTAAATATTCCTGCTAGGCAAATGGAGCAGTGGAACCGAATTATAATGAGCTAGCAGCTGTCACAATATGACCACAGTAACCAAATCAAAATATCAACCGCTAACCCAGATGAGATCCAAAGGTCATCCTGTAAGCCAGCAGCTTTCTTCAGTTCTGCCTGAAACCTCAATCTAATCCTACAGTAAAATGTTCCACTGAGCTAGTTTAGAAACCAGTTACTCTAGAGTGGTAAATTATTTAGTGCCCTGGTAGATACAGTACCTCTAGTAGGATGAGAACAAAATATACCACATTAAGGAAACCGAAACATTCACAATGGGACATGTGAAACACGGCAGCTGATGCTGAACTAAGCTGCGCCCAACCGTACAAAGGTATCGTGTTTCATATCGTTCAGTCACCAATCCACGTATATAATCTTACTGGGCAACTTGCTCACTCATCCTCAAACAATCTGGTTTTCAATTAAGGCTCTGGAACAATAAAAGGAAAATGCATGCTTAGATCCTTCCTTGGATCAAAGATTTTTAGCTAGAAGGTATATTGGCTAACACTGTAAAAATATTTGGACAATTGTCTGCAAAACTTTAAAGCTTGCAAAGAAAAACAAACAAACAAACAAACCAGAAATGTTAAAAAAAATCCATATTCTTTGCATATATTTATTGCCAGGATTTTCAAACTATTCTATAGCATATAACAATCCTCTTAAAAACACACAGGACCCAGACTCAAGGCCCGCTGTCCTATTAGCATATTCTGAAAGCTATCCAACTAACCACCTGTGAAGGTTTAATCAAACTTTCTAAAAACTGCAGTGAACAAGTTTGCAACAGATCAAGTGTACGTTATTATTATTAATAATCACAGGTAGTCACAAAGAAGAGGTGATTTATTTTCTCCAGATACAAAACAGTACATGTAATTTCAAGTAAGGAGAAATGCAAACTGGCTTGTATCTACTCCATGAAAGCAATGAGTGAGCGTTTAATAAATGTCCAGCAAGAAAATATATGGATTGGTCAATGCAGGCAGCTAGAGCTAAAATATCACAACCTCTCCCATATTCTCTCACATCAAAGCAAAAAGTAAAAGGCATCCACACCTATTTTTTTTAAAAATTTAGAAGCTTGCTTTTTGTTTATTTTAGTCGTGTTTCTTTAAAGGATTTACACAATATCAACTTCTAAAACTTCCTATGACAATTGTAACTACAGACAGCAGTGCAATGAGTAGAACAACTTTATAAACCAAGAAGTGTCATTAATTCTTTGAACATAACAGGCACATTTGTGTGCATGTGTGTGTGCATGCGTGTGTACACACACACGAGCATGGGTATTCATTTGTTTATTTTTACTTTAGGGATTCGCAAGCTATCAAATAAGGTATTATTTTCAGATACCAAAGCTCACTTCCAAAAGAATAAATTAACAGAGAAATTCTATTACTCATAAATTATATCCCATTTTGTATAAATCTGAAATAGAGCCATAAATAAATTGAGTTTTGGTGCCAAGCAGAGTATCATATTACAAAAACTGTAACATTTATGCAAAACCATTCATGTGAAATCAGAAAGTTCAAAGTTGTAACAAAGGGTTTGTTACCGTAAAAGAGTTTATGAGCAAATATGTTAGCAATGCCTATATTATTTCCCCAAAATAGTGTACTACCATGAACAAAATACATAATAATAATTCACTCCCAAAAGAAAAGAGTGGTGAAGCACTTTTTTCTTTCCTTGCAATAAAATAAAAACTACTAAGTGAACAGTTTACAAAAAAAAAAAATCAGGTCATCTGCAGTTAATAACTCTTTCCTGTAAAATTAGTGTCACTTATTTCTGTAGCAGACGCCTAATTCAGTCACAGGCTTGATTGATTTGACAATAGAGAATCTGCTCCAATAAAGTGGCTGATTTATTTCTGATGCTATAGCTTTTACCCTAATGTGACATCATGGCAGAATTAAGTTTTTGAAAAATGTAAAGAAATCCTTTGTAGTCTTAATGAAAACCAGTTAGCGATTCTGAGTGGATACTGGATTATTGTTAAAAACTTACAGTATAAAGTCTAAAACTTTCTCTTGGTAGAAGAAAATCATTCACAAAGGTCATAACATAGAATATGGGTTTGGACACAAAGAACAGTTTAGAATATAGCATATATTTTATGAGTTCAAATTGTTTGCTATACTAACAGATCTTCTTTTGTCTTTATCTCCATTTGTAAATTGGTTATACTTAATTTCCTGAAACTACTTTTTTTGTAAAGGTGCAACATAACACCAAACATGGCTCATCTTAAAAGTGGTTTCATTTTAAATAAACAGCAGCTTGGGCAAAATCAATGAGAATCTTTGTTCCCTGAATCTAGCTCTGAGATACTCAAGCCAATCAAGAAGGCATTTAGGATGTGAGAAATTATAGTGTTAGGAAAAGTTTCTAACGCAGGATCATAGACTGTTCTCTAAATATATTTTTTAATTCTTCTCTAAAGTAAAAATGTAAGGCATTTCATACTTGTGTCAATGTCGTCTTCTCCCTTTTTCCTTTTTTTTGCACACTGCACAGTGCCCTCTCACTCTGAGGGTGACTCCCCTGACCCGAGCCTGACACTGCACCATTAATGTCAGATAAACCATTTAGCCCAAGCACAATTCTTTTCTGTGCAAAAATCTGCTTGAGGTGGAAAATGTAGCAGTTTGTAAACAATAAAGAGCCATGTTTCAGTCCAGACAGCTTATCTAACAGAGAAGTCCTTTCATTGGGAACAGTGGGTGGGAGCCTCGTGGACATAGTAGCATTTCCTATCACAATGCAGGAGACTGTCTCGGCCTCCATATTTAAGAGTTTAATGGGAAGGAGGGCAGACGGGATAAAAGAACAAGGCTGACATGGATTTTCAGCTTAAACAACAACTAAGTGAAAAGAATCAGCTCTCTCTGCTCTAGACTGTCAGCCCACTTATATTTTAAATATTGTTTGGATTGATTCGTAAGGAACAGTTGCTCATAAGGAAACATGTTTGTATTGCTTGGTGTATGTATTCTGTAAAATTAATTTATCAAGTTGCTTTTTAGAGTAAAACTCTTTTCATATATATAACATAAACTTCTAAATATGAGTAATTATGTATTCTACTCTACTTTAGCTCATTAGAGGATAATTTTAGAATCTTCAAAGAAATTAGTATATTCTTTAGGTGCTATTTCTGAAGGCTATTATTTTCCTATTAATCTTTTACCTTATTTTATGAAGTTGGAAGAAGATGAATAGAGAAGTACAGGTATTAGAATTCAAATCATCACTATTGACATTGAAGAGTCTAAAGTTGTTCTTTAAAATCTAAATTGACAAATATATCTAGTCATCTGTATCTATATATCCTGAAAAGAACTTTATGTACTTCCCTATCAACAATCAGTAAAGAACTAGGATTCTTGTCTTAGTTTCAAAGCTGAAATATAAATAGGAAATTTACAATGTTGAAGTCAAAAAGAACAGAAAAAGAAGAACAACCTATGACCAAACACGACTTTGTGGTTCTCAAAGTTGGGATGACACTCTAAGACACAAACCTATGATGTTTACCCATTAAAAATAAGTTGTTAGTATTTCTCTGCTTTAATTACTTTTGTGTTAAATACCTGAAATTCCTGTAGATGGATTTGATGGTGATTTTTGAAAAAATGACTGCAATTCAAGGACTATCTACATGTTAAGTAACTGATACCAGCTTCCAAGGCTTAAAAGTTGGGACATTCTTTAAAAGCATTTGCAATTATGGTTTCAAAATGACATAATTATTGCTGTGTGTTTTTCGTGGAGTATAGTCCAACAAGCTTATGCCAAGAAATTTAACTTCATTTATTGACAGCTTTGTAATAGAATTTGGCCTGGTTGAGAAATTTACTAATATCTGTTAAGAACTCACGCTTACTAGAACAAAGATCGTTTTTTCAATCCAAACTAAAGTAACCAGCTATTGAGACCTTTTAAGTCACTATGGATTATCTTACCTTTTCTCAGTTTACTGCTGTTAAACAAACTTCCTTATAGGTTAATCAAGAGCAAAAAAAATATGCTAAGGGTGCTAGTATGAAGGATATGCTGGAAATTCTCTCAAAGAGTCTCCAACTACTCCTAGCTTCTTTCAGTGAAGCAAGATGGGGTCTGCCTAGACCATCAGCACTAAAGTTCATGCCTTGATAAACACACAACCAGTCTTTACAGTTCAACTTAAACATACTACTCTGATTTAACCACACTAAGTATGTTCATAACCCCGTTAATAAAACCTCACAACTAACACGGACTATATATCATTGTCAACCAAAAGACCTAATGATATTTTCATTTTAAGTATTCACCACTTTGACTTCACCAACCTTAACTTAGAAAACCACTGTTGCAACACTGAAATTGAGAAAAGTGCTTTATGCCTAAGGAAGGCAAAATTTTCCATGCAAATTCAGTATCACTGAAATGATTTAATTCCATATGGTCATAAAACTTTGTCCTTGATTCGCTATTACCAAGCACAGACCGACAATATTTTTCTGCAATTTAAGATTACTACAAATGAACTGGCTATGTATCCAAGTTCCTAAAAACAGAATCCCTGTCTGTGGTTTCCCCTTCTACAGTAAAACATAAGCATTCAGAAAGTGCCTGTTAATTTAAAATTAGTCTTACTTTGTATTCTGGAATTGACAAAAGGTGGAGAGAGATTGTCATGTGACCCAAGGTCCCTGCTGGTCATGTGGTCATAGGGAGTCCCATCTCCATAGTTCTGTAAGTAAAATCACAACGTAAGTTTTAATTTTACATTAATAAATCAGCACATAAAAAATATCCCCTCTACTGAAACCTCTTTCACCCAAAGACATTGAAGTCCACTGTTCCCTCCTAGGAATCTCACTATACGGAATCTGCATCTTTATAGGTGTAGTAAGTAAGAGAGAGCTCTAGAGTCTGCAAAATTCAAATTTTCCTCATAACAGCTATAAAATCTTGGGAAAAATAATAATGGTACCAACTGCATTAAGTTGTTGACAGGATTAAGTGAAATAATGCATGAAAAACACCAGACACATTTAAGGTACACTGCAAATATTAAAAGTTATTATTTTGATAAACCCATATGAAAGCAAGCTTGGACAATAAGGGAAAATTGTCCACACCCTATAATGAACTGATTTTGGAAGACCAAGGCAGAGTGACTGAAACAACATTTGGTTTTACGATACTGAAGTTTCGATGTTTTATTATAGTTACTAGTATTGTGGTTGTAAGAGATCTGGATTGCTATGTAAGTAATTAATGCATGAGAATGGTAAGAATATTCGGACAACTATGAATGAACATCAAAGTTTTGGTATAGATTAGAATTTCTGGAGCTGGACAAAGTATGCCACAAAACGTGCTTTTAAAGGAGACAACTTTCGGCAGAAATTTTCATTATTACAATTTCATCATTCTTTTAATGTAAATTTAAAATTAAAATAATATCAGTTTTAATGGAGGAATTTGATAACATATAGGAAAGAATTAAAATCATCTGTATTTCATGGTTCAAATTTCAGTCTACTGAGGTGCAGAAAGTGCACAAAAAGGAAAAAAAAAGTCATTCTGCTCAGCTGGCTGAACTGCCCATAAAGTCTAAGTCAAATTTACTCAGAGGTGTCAGTTGGCACGTTAGCCAAAGGGCAGAATCTGCCCACACAAAAAAGACTAATGCTGTACAAACGACGAAAAGGCACATCACCTAACTAGACAATGACTAGAAACTTAAGGACAAACAACCCCATGATCAATCGCCTTTCCTTATTTTCACTTAAATAATACTTAATCTACTTCTGCCAATATGTTGATATACGAAAGGATATCACATTTTAAATACTGATCATGAGTTTTACACTCACTCATTCTATACCAGGTATTGCATGATACTAATTAGTGTCTATTAATAAATAATCGCATCCTAGATAGTGTACTAAAAGCTTAATATACGTCATCTGATTTAATCCTCAGCATAGTACTGCAAGGTAGAAGATAATATCACCACTTTAAGACGAGAGAAGAGAGACTTAATAAGGTTGTCTGAATACAGATCAGGCACAAATAACATCTAATGCAATTCCCTGGATTAAGAAAACATAAATTATGATACACTGATTCAAAATTGTTCAATAACATATTTTCTGAGGAAAAATGGCAGAACAGTTAATGAAAACTAAATTGGAAAGTAAATCAGGATGATTCTATATGGACCTGTTCTCCAAAACACAATTAAAAGTGCTGTGTGTATTGAACTAAGAAGTCATAAGAAATTAAGTAAAACTGAATGAACTAAACAATAGAGGAAAGTTCTGTCATCTCCACTTGCTGTCAAGGGAAATGGATTTATTTCTGCAAGTGCAGACTGTAACATGAGAAGGAGGAAAGATTTCCTCAACCCAGCCATATAATGCATTAGAATGTCAAACCCGACAGCTGGCGCAAAGGCTCAACAAAGTTACTGGTAAGCTTAGAGATCCTGCTGTACCCTGAAGACTAGAAAGGATCATAATGCCAAGGACAGGTGGAAACGTATAACTATGGCTTGTGAAATGTCCTCATTTTAACAGCTTGATTATCTTGCCTGCCTCTTATGCTGAAATAGAGATCTACCCCAACCCCAAATTTATGTGAACATTTACAATAACATGTTAACCTCCCCGCAGAATGCTTTATCTACACAGCTGATTGGGGGAGGGAGAGGTGTTTGATTTTCTATCTGGACTAAGTCTACTTTTACTTTGGGGCATGTTAGAAAAGCTAACATGGATTTTAGAGAGCCTAGAAATGACTCAGACAAAGACATTATATATAAAACAATTCAAATTTAAATCAGAAGAAACATAGAGGGTCCTCTGGTTCTACTTCTTCATTTTACAAATTTAAAAAATGAGGACTAAAGAGGTAAAATGACATGCCCAAGGTCATAAACAAACACAAACACACAATGCCTAAAAACCCCACCCTACACCATTCCATGTTCTTCCCATTACACCCAAAGGAACAAACAATGCCCAACACACGGAGAAGAACCACGAAAAAGAGTAGCAAAATCTCAAGACCAAATAAATAAATAAATCCAACTGGTGACCAAAGACATACTAGTGGAATAATAACGTGTTTACAAAGTAAAATCAACTCAGATTTTTTATGTAGAGTATACTGGTCAGGATTATTCAGGAGTCTATTCATAGTAACACATTACAGGGATATTATTTTTTTTTAAGTTGTTCCATCTACAATAACACTCTGTAATACTGGATCAATAACTGGAAAAGGTAAGGACAAATATTAAATGAAGAATTTTAAGAAGTTTTCTTCTGGTTAGCAGAAGCGGAACAGGTGTCAAATTCAATAACAGCATCCAATAAGAGAATGAAAAAAAGTTCCAAAGACAAGCTGATCCTCATTAAACTTAGTATGCACATATATCTGTGCAGTTGTGTGTGTGTGTGTGTGTGCATGCGTGTACATGCATGTGTGAGAAATCACCTTCAGTTTGTCAATTTACATATGCGGGATGTCTGGTTGTAGGGAAAAAAAGATTAGATATACTTACCCTGGACGGGCTTGGATGTCCTCCATTCCCCCAGGACCCTGAGCTACTTCTGTCTTCTACGTCTAGGGACAAGAGAAAAGTTCTTTAGGCTTTCTTGCAATATCTCTTTCTTTTTACATATGCACTTTTAAATTAATGTTTCAAATTAATCTCCTGTTGCCTTTAATTAAGAATCAGGCACGGGGCTACCATGATGATAGCGGCTTCTGACCCATCTACTTAAATTAACTAATTTAAATTCACAGCAGAAATGAACTGGACCCTCAGGAACCAGAGGTATGAATATAAAAATTACTTCCATCCTTCACAGCATTTGATAGCCTTGATTTTTATAGTCATGAAACTACACTTAAGTTTCATTAAAATCTTTTGGACAAAATAAGTTTAAAAATACACTAATACAACCTTATCCAAAAGAAAAGTTAAAGTAAGATAAATAAATATCCATACTAAAACTTCCAGCATCCTTGCCGTAATGTTCTTGGATACTTTTTGTTCTCTCGCTAAGGTTTACCACACCAGATGACAGAAATGCAACAGAGAATACTAGACAAAAAAAAGTATTCAGTAGTCTCTTTCCACCAGCACGTTACAGGGACACAGGGATACTGGGATTTCTTTTAAAAGTTATTTAGGTTGAGACGAAACTGTCACTATCTTCCAATATTTTCTTAAACTAGACATACCATTTGGACTACCCTTAATCTGGGCTTTGAGGTGTGGAATTGAAAGCTTACAATTACAAATCAATGTTCTATTTTGATAAATCATGGGGAAGAGATCTACATGAACTACTGGAAAGTTGAAATTCTTCTAAACTTTGGCTCAGGAGACATAATCCCATTTACTGTTTCCTAACATTTCAGTGATAGTTTATTCTCTTAATGCTGCACTGTCATTCCTTCTGCTACTGCTATTTTATTATCAGCAGAAGTAATCATAATATAATTTATTGATTTATTTTTGGTACAGTGGATTATCTGATGTTTTAGAATACTTTAAGAGATGGAGTCACAATAGCAACTTATTACTACTAAACTTGAATTCTCTCTTTTTTATAACAAATATTATTTTGGTTCCTTTTAGTTGGTGCTTCAGAAGGTAATGCAACTGCAATCAGATATCCCCTGTGGACAGTTAAAATCAGTGCACAGTGAGCTTTAAGACATGTCATGAAAGCTCCTGGGACTGCATCAAGCCTGGGGAAAAGTGTAAAGCCTTCCCCAAATCTGCTGTTTAATAACCCAACATGCTGGCCTATCGTGTACATGCTGAACTGAAATACACAAAGAAGTTACTTACAACCCTCTAGGATTCTCACATGAATAAGTTTTGTAGCCTACATCGTTCTCCTAATTCTTAAACAAAAAACAAATACATTCAGCTTTAAAAAAAAAAGTATAAATAACAGAAATCTCTCAACCACCACAAGTTTTCAAAAGTCTAGCACATCTTGACTTCCTTTTCACCTAAAACAGCTGGCGTGGATTAATTTGAGAGATTTCTCCTCTTAAATTTGGCTAAAAAGTAATGAAGGAAAAGATTTGAATCCCTATACAAGTATCTACCATAAGGCTTTACACTGTTTATACTCATTTTATCTTTTCAATTCGAAAAAGAGGATTTAAACATGAGAAGTAGACAAAGACATAGAGGAAAGGGGACCATACTACCAGGCCAGTGGTTCCCCAGTGGGGGTAATTTTGCCCCCCAGAGGACAGTTGGCAATGCCTGGAGACATTTCTGACTGTCACAACTTGGGGAGGAGGTGCTACTAGCATCTAGTGGGTAGTGGCCAGGGATGCCACTAAATGTCCTACAAATGCACAGAACAGCTCCCCATAACCAAAAATATTCTGGCCCCCAACGTCAATTGTGCTGATACTAAGAAGCCCTGGGCTAGAGCAAAAAGAAAGAATCAAATTGGAGAAAAGACGTACTAGAATTTGACTTATAATTTGGTAGGAACTCTTAATAAGTATACAGTGTCTTAGGCACTGTAACCCAGACTTGAGCAGGAATGTTTCAAGAGACCTTCATATCCATCTTCTGTCCACAGAAGAAAGGAAAAATGACGGTCAATCAAGCAGCCTGCTAATTAGCAGGCAGATAAAATACATCAAAACTTGAGTATTCCCAACTGGGCAATTTCAAAAGCGAGCAATCCACTAATTAAAAGTGCTGGAAGTCTAGCTTTTTCAAAACAGGTTAAATACTGGCTGGGTTCCTTCACAAAGAGATTCCCAACCAATCATATCCAGCTGTCCTTTCCCATCCTTTCCCATTTCCATCCTTATTTCTTCACCTAGTGCTGCTGAACCCTGCCTTGTTTCTTCTTTTACTGTTCTCTTTTGAACAGGCTTTTCCCTCCCTTGGCCTTCTGCTAGATCTAGAGAATGAGGACAAATCACTAGCTCTCCCAAGCCTAATAAATGGAACAATCATATGAATTCTAATTCTATTTTATCTTAGAAAAAAAAATCTATATAACTGGTGCTCATTTATCCATAGCAAGAAGAGAAAAGCTATAGCACAGATGATGGTAATTCCTAATGAAGGTAAATATGTTACTTTTAAGTCATTTGTTTCCATCTTCCTCCCCCTGAGCTGCATCAGACCTGCCAGTTAGTTAGCAAATATTTCCTCAATAACTATTCCAGAGCATCTCAAAGCACCTGCCAAAGTGCATCCACCTAGGTCTGAACCATCTACTATGCACATTTCAAAATCAGCCTCTTAGGGCCCGGTCCGTCTCAGACCTACTGAGTCTGGAACTCTGGGGGTGGGGCCAAGAAAACTGTATATTTAACAAGGTTCCCAGGTAATTTTCATACACACTTAAGTTTGAGAACCACAAGACTAGTCTATCGGAAACACGAGACAAATGCATGCCTCCCCACCCCCACCCACTGTTGCCTGTCTCACTCCCTATCTTAAAATTCCTGCCTGACTTGCCAATTTCAGCAGTACTCAGTCCACACTCCCATCATACCTGCACCCCAGTGGTTCTTGCCCAGACTGACTTTCTATGTAAACCCTGCACATGGCCTACACACGGTTCCTTACTCCCTGCTGGTATACCAGGACACTGCATACTCTTACACTGCCATGGTGTTGTGCCTGCTAATCCCTCTGCCTAAACGATTGCTCACCTCTCATCAAATAGCAGCTCACATTTAGCGAGCTTACTTGTGTGTCAGACACTGTACTAAACACTTATATGTCCTAATAGTATCCTGATTTTACATATGAAAAAACTAAGGCTTAGATGGAACAAAAAACTTGCCCAAGGTGTCAGTAAATGGCAGAGCTGGGACATAAACGCAGGTGATGTGGGATGCTGAAGCCACCACCATAAACACCTCCCTGGTAGGAATTTCATCTGTCTCTACAGCCAGCTGGAATATTCCCTCCTGTCACTATGCACAGGGTGAATATATTCATTTGGAAGCTTATACCCAGTCTTGTGTCCACAAAAGATTAGAGAACCATATACAACCCAAAATACATAAAATAAATAACTGAGGGAATCAAGAGACTGGAAAATAAAAGTAGGAGAATGACAAAGCCACAGGTATGATGAGTTTATCAAAATGCATATGGTGATAGACTGGTGTTGGAAAAATAGAATAGTTTGGTCAGGGCCCTTGCCTCAGGTCCTTTTGGGTGTGGTTTAGCACATCCATTATAAGCAAATTGTGTGTCTGTGTGTGGTGCATGCGCACCAATGTATCTTTCTAGTTTTGTTGCTATTCTTGTGATCTTCAGAGAGAATGAGAGAGGCAGAGAGAGAGAGAGAGAGAGAGAGAGGCAGAAAGAGAAAGAGGGGGGTGGAGAGAGTTTAGTAAAGCAGGCGGGCGGGCGTTGGCCTTGAGCATCCACCCTGTGCAGCCATGCTTTCCAACCTAGGACCTTTTGTCCAGTTACCTAGCTCATAGACCTGCGAGAAGAGGTTTGGTGACCCAGCCTGGCATATGAAGGGTTTGTGACCCAGTCTGTGAATGGGCTTGAGGGGTCTGTGAGCTCCAGACCCAGCCCTAGCTCAACCATCGGCCCAGTCAGTACAGGATTACCAGCAGGTAAAAGAGCCCGATAACTAGCGTGGTTGACTAGCTTTACAATTGGCGTCATGAACAGGAGTAAGAGCTAGACAATTGGCACTGTGAGCAGGATTCCAGGACTTAGCATAGCCAGACAACTGGATATTTGCTAGAAGTGGGTCAAAATTTTAGAAGCTATTAAATAGGCAAAGTAAAGAGTGAAATAAGATTGACAATGATCATCTGATAAAAGCACACTAATTGTTCAGGAGAATCATAACTAATCCTGGTATTAAACCTGACAGAAAATGTCTGCAGAGCTCCCAACAGAGAAGATAGAATGTGACGTAGCTGTCCATACTATCAACAGGCACAATTGTGAAGTTTATGTGGCTGGTTCAAGAGGACAGTTAATTAAATATACAGGGATTATTACACAAATTACCATGTGGGTATACATACAGCCACAAGCTTCATTTTTATATCATACCAAACTGTGATAAATGTTTCTTATAGGAAAGAAGCATGCTTCACGAATGGAAGTACTTCTCAGTACCTTGTGTGGTACAACACAGCAGGTAGGCTCAATAGTTCCTTACTGAAATGAATTAAAGCAACACAAAGTGAAAGGTAAGATAATATTTTGGTATCTAGATGGTGAGACAAATATATATGTGTGTGTGTGTGTGTGTGTGTGTGTATACACACACACACACACACACACACATACAGGAAAAGATGTGTGAAATCCATTAAGGCAACATGCGGGCGGGCGTTGGCCTTGAGCATCCACCCTGTGCAGCCATGCTTTCCAACCTAGGACCTTTTGTCCAGTTACCTAGCTCATAGACCTGCGAGAAGAGGTTTGGTGACCCAGCCTGGCATATGTAGGAACAAATGAAAAACTTTCTGGGATGAAGACACCTGAATGCAGTTGTCCCTCCTTATCTATGGGTTCTACATCTGCAAATGCAACCAACCACCGATTAAAAATACCTTTTAAAAAACCAAAACAATGTGGT